CTCAGTTTTCTTATAAAACAAATGACCTCCAAACTGGGCAGCTGCAAAAAAAAAATATATATATATATATATATATAATATATATTTAAAATATATATATAAAAAAAAAATATATATATATATATATCAAAGGGTTGTTGTGAAAATTGAAAAACTGGAGCCCAGGTACTCTGGCACCAAGTTCTGTGTTCTTTCTGCCACAGTAGCTACCTGGTATGGTAATAGAGACTAGCAGCACAAAGCCGACATGGCTGGCTGGTCACTAAAGCCTGGACACTTGTTGGTATTATTTCATGATTTACAAGGGTCATCTATTTTATTTTCCCTAGTGGTATTTGATTATTTGTCAGACTTGCTTTTAGGACCTCCTATTAAGCAGTTTTATATCATACAATATTTTAAACGTACAAGAAAGCTCATTGCCTCTTTTAATTTGACATAGTCTTTCAGATTTTAGTGGGATTTTCCCAGGGCCCATACTTCATGGATGAGTTCCAGGGGGAGAGTGTGAGCTGCACCCTCTTTCAAAACTTGACTGAGTCTACATCCCCTCTGTCATATCTCTCTCATTTACTTGCTTGGTTTGGGTGTTTGTTCTGAAGATATTTACAGTTTTATAAAAGAAGCCAATACACTGACCTTGGCTCCCTATGATGCCTGCTGGAATGCCTGTCGAGGAGACAGGTGGGAAGACTTTTCCAAATCACAGGTGCGCTGCTATGTCTACATCATGAAAGAGGGACTCTGCTCTCGAGTGAACACACTGGGACTGTACATGGAAGCAAACAGACAGGTGAGAAGATGGGTTTAGAAGAGTAATCATGGGAGGTATTGCCCTAGCAATATAACGAGCCTTTTGTCTTATTTCTTCATTAGACACAAAGTAACTTGTTCAGAATCCCTCTCAATCCCAAAGTTGAGCAAGACCTGGCATGAGAGGGGAGATCATTGGGATAACCAGATGCAGCAAAAGGGGAAGTGGAGGGCCAGCCCGGTGGCTCACTGGAGAGTGCGCCGCTTGGGAGTGCGGCGGCGCTCCCGCCGAGGGTTCGGATCCCATGTGGTGACCGGTTCCCGCTCACTGGCTGAGTGTGGCGCGGGCACAACACTGAGGGTTGCGATCCCGTTACCAGCCAGTAAAAAAGACAAAAAGGAAAAAAAAAAAAAGGGTCGGAGTGGAGGGCCTGGTCCATAGTGGCAGGGCCTCTGCGGCTCCAGGAAAGGCTAAGATCTCCAGGAAGGCTAACTACTGGCCTCTGAGTTCAGCAGCTTTCTTCTATTCTGTTCAGCATGGGATATCTACAGTAATTACTTCCTAAACAAGCAGATGAATACCTTGTAATCGTTACTTTGAAGAGGTAAACATAGGTACATAGAGGAGGCTTCCCTAAGAAGGTGAAGGAATATAGAGTGACCAGATGGCAAAGCCTCAGGGAAAGAATGTTTGTGGGAGAGAATTGTCTGGAAACAGCACTAGTGAGGAGTCTTGCTAACCCCTCCTTTTAACTCTACAGTTTGTGAGATACAGAGAATGAATAGCTTCCATTGCAGGGGAAGCAGTGCCCTCAAAGACTAGCCAGGACTTAGTAAAGGCAGGGGGTGGAGAGGAAAACAGTAAAGAGACTGAGGGTGTAGGGAAGCTCTTTATTGTGTAGTGGGCACAGGCAGAAGGTTTTAGGAGGGAGGGACCAGGAAAAGGAGGCAGAGCAGTAAAGGGTTGAGATGAGAATAGAAAAAGGTAGATAATGGAGGGAACTTCATTGGGGTGGCATTCAAGAATAACAGGGATGAGATAGAGTAATAAAAATATTAGCTGTTCATATTGTTCCTGGTAGAACTCTATGAAAATTGTCTTTGCAGGTGCAGACTGGGGTGGGGGGTGGGATGGGGGAGGTGGGGGTAGAGTGATATAAAAGATATTCTTGAAAATTGGGATCGAGTCCCTGAAGAAAACCTGGCTCTGGAATCTTCAGGACCCACACCATATTGGGTATAGCCTCAGCTCCAAACATCAAGCTAGCTGGCCTTAACCTGGATTGGTTATAGATCCAAGAAAATCCCAAACCAGAGACCTTATGAGAAATCACAGCTAGTACCAAGTTTACTGATGACTAGAGTCTGTCAGGCTGACCTGGAAGCAGGTTGATAGATAGCCTGAGGCTGGAGAAGTATCCTCTGAAGTACTAGCAGGGACTGTGCAGCAGACAGGCCTAAAAGGCCTTGGCTGAAATGTTACAGAAGAGATCCCAGGGCTAGGGGCTAGGGGATTAGCCTTCACATGCCAGTGCAGCCAGTGCTGACAAGGCCTCCCTTGGCTAATGTGGCCACCACACAGTGCTCTAACCAGCATTCTGGCTATGCTGGAGAATAACAGACAGGCACACTATCTGTGTCTTCCTAATGCGTTGGTAACCAACCCCCACCCCCACCACCAATACCCCTAACCTTTTCAGTTTTCTTGTACTGGAGAGAGAATAGTGTGAACTTCCCCTTCACATTTGCTTTTGGCTAGTGAAGAACATAATGACTTCTTAGAGTCTGTCTTGATTGTAAAATTTGTCTAACATTGCTCCTATCCTCACCTCATGCATGGCCACAGTGGTCCAGGAGGTGAGCAGGAACCTAGGATGACTATGACCAGGACTTGGGGTGTTCCTGGCCCTCATCAGGCCTCCTTTACCAAGAAGTGCTGTACAGGTATCTCAATAGCTTGTCTCACTGCCTCCCAGCTGAGGGACATGGCATCACTTTCAGGGAAGAGTACTCTCATCTAAGAAACTGAGGATAAAACTATCTAGAAACTACCACATAAAGGGCCGGCCTGTGGCTCACTCGGTAGAGTGCGGTGCTGATAACACCAAGGCCACGGGTTCGGATCCCATGTAGGGATGGCCGGTTCGCTCACTGCCTGAGCGTGGTGCTGACAACACCAAGTCAAGGGTTAAGATCGCGTATAACTTCGTATAATGTATGCTATACGAAGTTATGCCCAAGGCCACGGGTTCGGATCCCATGTAGGGATGGCCGGTTCGCTCACTGCCTGAGCGTGGTGCTGACAACACCAAGTCAAGGGTTGAGATCCCCTTACCGGTCATCTTTTAAAAAAAAAAAAAAAGAAACTACCAATATAAATAATCCTAGCCCTAAGGGAAATGCAGCAGCTTTTTGCTGTCCCCCACACGGACAGGAAACAGTGACTAAGAACTTCCCACATCTCTGATTGCATGCTAAGTTCTACTTAAGGTTTTTTCAGGTGTTTTTTGGTCTTTTACCAAAACTCTTTCTTCCAGGTGCCCAAATTGCTGCCTATTCTCTGTCCAGAAGAATTACTGGTCCATTCATCAGCCCAGATTGTCAGCAAACATCTGGTAAGTGCTAGTGTGGGCCAGGCAGACATGGGATCTTCTCTGGGGACATTGAGACTTGTCCTTCAGAATATGGATTGAGACTCTCAAGCCCTGAACCTTATTAGCCCCTGGGAGATCCCAGTTGGGTTCTTGTAATGCAATGTCACTCAAGAAGACTGTCTGGACAAGTACTGAGTCTCTAAGGAAGGGTCCATTATAGTGTTGGGACTTAGACATAGGAGCTTTCTTTTTTTTTTTTAAAGATGACCAGTAAGAGGATCTTAACCCTTGATTTGGTGTTGTCAGCACCACGCTCTACAAGTGAGCGAACTGGCCATTCCTATATAGGGATCCAAACCCATGGCCTTGGTGTTATCAGCACCACACTCTCCCAAGTGAGCCACAGGCAGGCCCTGACATAGGAGCTTTCAATCTCTGTCCCTCTTCTTATCCTGATTTAGTTTTTTTTTTTTTTTGTGACGGGTAAGGGGATCGCAACCCTCGGCTTGGTGTCGCCCGCACCGTGCTCAGCCAGTGAGTGCACCAACCATCCCTATATAGGATCCAAACCCGCGGCCTCGGCGCTCCCAGCGCCGCACTCTCCCGAGTGAGCCACGGGGTCGGCCCTTCTTATCCTGATTTGAGCACTCTCTTCAAGAGAGCACATCTGCATACATTTGTGCACACAAGTGCATGAGTGTGTGCATATATGTCTAGTATTTTTGTTTTGTTTTCTTGGCAAGGGTGGGCCCATGCTTCAGTATAGGTTTGAGTAGGTCTCAGAGGTGTCGTGTGACCTGTGGCACAGAGAAATACTGATCATGGTCCCTCTTGCTGGTGTGTCTCTATAGAAAATCCCATTAGACTCCAGCGTGAAGGATCTGGGGGGTGGTATGCAGTTGGTTGAGATGGGTGGACAGAGTTTTATATTTGCCTTTTGCAGGTTGGAGTTGACAGCCTCGTTGGGCCAGATACACAGGTTGGAGAGAAGTCATCCATTAAGCAATCAGTCATTGGTTCATCCTGTGTCATAAGAGATAGAGTGACTATTACGAATTGCCTTCTCATGAACTCAGTCACCGTGGAGGAAGGGTATGTTTCTCCTTGTGCCCACTTGAAGCAAGGCTCCTGGTACCCCTAGGAGGCTTTGGGGGCCAGTCCAGCCCAGGAAAGGACTCACCTTGGGGACAGGAAGAAAGAGAAAAGGAAGAAAGAAGGAGTAGTGCCTAGGCCCTTTGAGGCCTTGGTTTTGCCTCTGTAATGACATGATCTTTCAAAGCATTTCCAGAACCCTTCTTATCTTATGACAGTTGTGGTACTGGAAGAAGCTGCGTTCTCTTGCCTTGGTGTCCTACTTGATGTGAATGGCCATAGTTGTGTGCAACTGGCAGTGCTGGAATGACATTGCACCAGTGCCTGAGGGTCACCTTCCCCTATCTTGGTATCCAAGAGCAGCCCAGAAGAAGGCAGAGGCAAAGGTGGAGTGGACATATAAGCCACACACTGCTTTTGAGGAAGAGCTGCTTCTCTACAAGTTGTGGAGAATCTTTCCCATATGGAGACATTTTAGAGTGTACTCCGATCTTGTTTTATGAACAGTCTGCACTTGGAGTGAGAAGACCTGAATGATGTTTAATAAGATTCTTCCTAGATGTGAACCTCAGGTTTTTCCATGTGTAAAATGCAAGAGTAGATGGAGGAAGAAAGGAAAGATATTACCAGATCAATGTTTTTCAGATGTTTTTAGAAAACGAACTTTTTCTTAAGAGAAATCTTATGCAGAAACTCAATATTTAAAACCAATAAAAGGGCTGGCCAGTTAGCTCAGCTGGTTAGAGTGCAGTGTTATAATACCAAGGTCAAGGGTTCAAATCCCATTACTGGCCAGCCACCAAAAAAAGAAAAAAAAAAAAAAAAACCCATAAAAACCAATAAAAGGGGCCAGCCCGGTGGCGCACTGCTACAGTGCGCCGCTAGGGAAGTGCAGTGGCGCTCCCGCCGAGGGTTCGGATCCCACATACAGACCGGTTCCCGCTCACTGGCTGAG